CGGATATCAGCCCCGCAAATCCATATCAGCCCTGCAGGGTTGATACGGCTATTGTGACATCAGCCATATCGCATATGCAAAAAACCTGTATTTATTACTAAGTGTGTAATAAATGTACATATTTCATAATTTGCAACCTAACCATCTCTTGAAAATTAAACAATTCAATAGGTAAGACCAACATGTACCAGTACATGTATTAATAAATATTTTGTCAACACTTAATTACCAATTTGTCTCTTTTCAGTAAACCTTTCTTTGCCATCAGAACTTTCTGTCTTTGGAGTTTCTACAATATTTGAAAGTTTTAAGCCATTATAATGATCAAATCCCTAAATCAATTTCTATAAATTCTAATTTTAGAATGATCATACTGTGAACTAATTAATATCTGCATAATCTTTTATTCATGATTGGTCAGACTTAGTTTGAAATCAATCGAATAATTTTCACAACTAAGGAAACATTCTCAATAATTAGAAAGTAAAATACCTTTTGGTTTACATAAATAAATATTCACGAGTAAAGAATGTCTCAAAACTCACGAAAATATTTTAATATTAAAACACATTACAGATAACTCAAACTTGAGACTATGTAAATAATTGTATACAAAGTTAAAATGCTTGTACACATAACATATTCATTTATGTTACATGTATTTTAACTTTGTATGCAATTATTCCACTTTAAAATTTTTAGGACTGCCGCAAGAAATACCTAATTGTATTGATCTATTATGGATGTACATAAACATTAGATATAGAAGCGCATTACACTACTGTAAAATCACTTGTTTTCGTGAGTCAGATTTTTGTGGTTTGAGTAAAAACTCTTGGTTATAGGGATTTGAATTCGTGGATGAAGAATTGTTGAGAAATAATGTATGTAACATTTTGCATTTTGTGGTGGACATGAATTCATAGATCTCTTCATAACTCATAAACAACAAAAATTACCCCCCCCCCCCCAACTCCACAAAAATTTGTGATTTCAAAGTACATTTAAATGAAGGCAATGTAACTGATACAAAAGGAATGTCCTTATGTGCAAAAACAGGTCAAAATCACAGATTATGTTCGAGTACCTGACGAAGTTCAGCAAAATTGGCTGTCTGCATCTTCTGCCATTGTAAATCAGGGGTATATCCCTTTGGTGCGGGAAATTGACCACCATACTGAAAATCGATTACATGTCACTACATAAACTGTTAGACCAAGGGAAACAAAATGTAATTGAATACTGTAAACATATTACTCTTTGGATGGGGTCATAAGTTTACAGATTCACAATATTTTCAAATTTTCTGACTGATTTCATAATTTATACATGTATGCTGCTATAGAATGTCATATAAAAATGTGATAAAAATCATATTATAGAAAGGTTTTAAGTATTAACTTAAATTTGACTTCTAAATTAAACTAGATTAAATTTATAAATTTTCCTAGATTGGATGAGAACACAATATAATTAATTTGAAGGACACTGATTTGTTACATTATTTCATTACCTCTCTGATCTTCACTGTCTGTCTATGTAGGAATGGAGAAGTGTCTATATCAGTGACTACAATCTGTAGACAGTCCTAGATCTTACCTCTCTGATCTTCACTGTCTGTCTGTGTAGGAATGGAGATGTGTCTATATCAGTGACTACAATCTGTAGACAGTCCTAGATCTTACCTCTCTGATCTCCACTGTCTGTCTATGTAGGAATGGAGATGTGTCTATATCAGTGACTACAATCTGTAGACAATCCTAGATCTTACTTCTCTGATCTTCACTGTCTGTCTGTGTAGGAATGGAGATGTGTCTATATCAGTGACTACAATCTGTAGACAGTCCTAGATCTTACCTCTCTGATCTTCACTGTCTGTCTGTGTAGGAATGGAGATGTGTCTATATCAGTGACTACAATCTGTAGACAGTCCTAGATTTTATCTCTCTGATCTTCACTGTCTGTCTATGTAGGAATGGAGACGTGTCTATATCAGTGACTACAATCTGTAGACAGTCCTAGATCTTACCTCTCTGATCTTCACTGTCTGTCTATGTAGGAATGGAGACGTGTCTATATCAGTGACTACAATCTGTAGACAGTCCTAGATCTTACCTCTCTGATCTTCACTGTCTGTCTATGTAGGAATGGAGACGTGTCTATATCAGCCACTACTATCTGGGGACAATCTTTGGCCTCCTCTCTATAATAGAGCCATACATTATCATTATGTTAATGAAAAATGAAAAATGTATGTTAAAAAAAAATGTAAATCTGAGTTCATGTACAGTTTATTAGACTTTATTTTATTCAATGCAAGTGGTGAACAAGAGGCCCATGGGCCACATTGCTCACCTGAGCACTGTGGCTAGGAAAAAGCAGGATTGGTTTATACGTACTTGAAAAGCTTAAATTCAAAAGTAGTCCCAAGACGAATTATGCATTTGCTATTCTTGAGAAGAAGATTTTTAGAGAGTTTTCCTATACATTTCTATGTAAAACTTTGGTTGGCCATTTTGGCCCCGCCCTACCCCTGGGGTCATGATTTAAACAAATTTGAATCTTCACTACCTGAGGATGCTTCCATATAAATATGATTAATTATGGCTTGGCTGTTCATTAGAAGAAGGTTTTTAAAGAATTTTCCTATACATTTCTATGTAAAACTTTGGTTGGCCATTTTGGCCCCGCCCTACCCCTGGGGTCATGATTTGAACAAATTTGAATGTACAATACCTGAGGATGCTTCCATATAAATATGATTAATTATGGCTTTGTTGTTCTTGAGAAGATGATTTTTAAAGAGTTTTCCTATACATTTCTATGTAAAACTTTGAACGGCCATTTTGGCTCCGCCCTACCCCTGGGGGTCATGGATTGAACAAACTTGAATCTACACTACTTGAGGATGCTTCCATATAAATATGATCAATTATGGCCTTGTTGTTCTTGAGAAGAAGATTTTTAAAGAAATTTCCTATACATTTCTAGGTAAAATTTTGGTCGGCCATTTTGGCCCCACCCTACCCCTGGTGGTCATGATTTGAACAAACTTGAATCTACACTACCTGAGGATGCTTCCATATAAATATGATCAATTATGGCTTTGTTGTTCTTAAGAAGAAGATTTTTAAAGAATTTTCCTATACATTTCTATGTAAAACTTTGGTCGGCCATTTTGGCCCCGCCCTACCCCTGGGGGTCATGATTTGAACAAACTTGAATCTACTCTACCTGAGCATGCTTCCATATAAATATGATCAATTATGGCTTTGTTGTTCTTGAGGAGAAGATTTTTAAAGAAATTCCTATATATTTCTATGTAAAACTTTGGTCGGCCATTTTGGCCCCGCCCTACCCCTGGGGGTCATGATTTGAACAAACTTGAATCTACACTACCTGAGGATGTTTCCCCATAAGTTTCATCTTTCCTGGCACAGTGGTTCTTGAGAAGAAGATTTTTAAAACATGCCACCAAATTTTCATTAATTCCCAATTATCTCCCCTTGAACAAGGGCCTGGCCCTTCATTTGAACAAACTTGAATCCCCTTTACCCAAGGATACTTTGTGGCAAGTTTGGTTGAAACTGGCCCAGTGGTTCTTGAGAAGAAGTCGAAAATGTGAAAAGTTTACAGACAGACGGACAGACAGACAGACAGACAGACGGACGCCGGACAAAATGTGATCAGAAAAGCTCACTTGAGCCTTCGGCTCAGGTGAGCTAAAAAGCAGAGCAATTATTTCACAGGCATAGATTTTTGAAACATCTCGTATTAACCATCATCAGGGACACATAAAAAACGGTGATTTCTACAACCAGCTAAACTTTGGTAAATTAAGACTCTAAATAAGGATGTTATAATTTTTAAAAAGCTACATTTTTCTGTAATTATTGTTCATCTCAATACAAAACAAAACAAAGAATTAAAGCATTCTACTGTTTGAACAGTTGTAACGAAAGACCAGATTTGCAATGATTGTGGACTATTGAATCTAACTGTGTCTCAAATCAGATAAATGTACTTGTTACACAGATTAAAACAAAAATATCTTTCGATTTACTACATTTTCTGTATAGATCTGTAACAGGAAAGGAGAAAATGCAGCGGACCAGACCAGGATTCGAACCCAGACCCCCTGAAACTCCGGTCAGGTGCTCTACCAACTGCGCTATCTGGTCACCAGCGATTGAACCCGGCTGACCGCCACATTCCTCCCTTTCTTAAAAGTTTTGACCCTCCAAAGACCCCACCCAGGCTCATCCCTGGCAGGTTTTTCACCTGTCAATTCCAGGGCAAGGCACGGATTTGGAGACGAGAAAATGCAGCGGTTCAGACCGGGATTAGAACCCAGGACCCCTGAAACTCCGGTCAGGTGCTCTACCAACTGACCTTTCTGGCCACCGGCGATTGAACCCGGTTGACCCCCACAGATCTGTGGTATGTCGTGGCAGGGACCTATACACTTAGTAGCAATGGAAAAGCAAAGGGCTGCAACTCTAAAATTTGCTAAAATTTTGTTGTCAAAAAATGGTCTAAAAAATAAACAAAAGGGTGGAAGTGTATTACGGGCTGATACAGTGAGACGATGACATGTACAGTCTTAAGTTTTTTTCAGAAACCTTCTTGAAGTATTACTGCAAGTTTATATCGATGAAAATCAATTAACTGCATCATTTTTATGGGAAAAAATAAAAATGAAATACTGTGGAATCACAAATTTTCGTGGGGGTTTAATTTTTGTTGTTTTCGTGGTATGACAAGACCCACAAATTCATGTCCACAACGAAATTTAAAATTTCACACACATAAGAACTCATTCATTCTTGATCCACGAAATCAAATCCCCACGAACCAAGAAATTTTCCTCAAACCACGAAAATTTGACCCCACGAAAATATGCGATTTTACAGTATTTTTTTTTAGAGAAAAAATTGAATTTCTGAATATACATCAAGAAGACCTGATTTTTATAAGACAATTAAGTAATTTCTATGAGAATTTGTTCTTAAATATTTTTCAAAATCTTGTATTCAACTCCAAATCAAGTTATAGCACATGGATTATTTTTGCTTGATAAGGTTATTTGCCCTTTGGTGTCAGGATCCTAGTAAATTGATAGGTGCGAAAATGTCACAACACTATGTGAATATCTTGCTTTCAACAATTTAGTTTATTTTAACTTTGTAAGATGCCATACGATGAAAGTCTTAATGGGGGGGGGGGGGGTATGCAGCATATAACCAGGGTTTTTTCTAGGTCTTAAAAACAAGGGCCTAGGCCTTTCCATTTGGGAAAAATAGCGACATTTTGTTGATATTGGGAAAAGTATCATATTTAATATTTTTCTGTATAAATTCAAATAAGAGGGTTTTTGTTTCATTTGTAAAGTATTTCTTTGACTTATTTTGCATTTAGTCAATCAGTTTTGGGAGAATGCCTTTTAGATTTTTATTTGGAACAACACTTTTGATAAAAATGTTACTGCGTTTGGTCTTTTTTTAACCGGTTTGTTTGTTTCGATTCTCTTTTGGGAATTTTCTTCAATGAAATTGGGAAAAACATATACTTTTTACCATTGGGAATGGGGCCTTATACAGGCCCCCTACGACCCCTAAAAAAAACCCTGATAACAGTGTCGGCTTTTAACGTTTCATATTAATTTTATTAATTAAAAATTAAAGATGGTTTTCTAAATACATAAATACACTCCAGAAATGATAACTTACTTGATTGATCATTCCAATTAGCATATCATTACCACCCCCCTCCCCATCAAGCCAAGCTTATCCATATCAAACTACAGAATACAGATCAATTTGATTTACTTCATATAAGTTAGAATTAACCAATACTTTAAACTGAACTTAGAAATTACAGTACAATCAAGCAGAACTTTGTACATCACATCTGACTGAGAGAAACAACACATGAAATGTATAAAAGTAGGTTAATAAGAAATTATTGGATTTAGAATCGAGTCATTTATCTTCCTGAACATGTCAGAATATAAATATATCATGCAATCACCTTAATATCTGATCATGTTAACAAGTTTCTATCTTGCAAAGAATGAAAAAGAGGTTGAAAACATGATTACATTTCGAGCTTAAAATTTCTGGCAACCATATGATATTTGATGTTCATGTTATAAAATATATTATATACACCACAAAACAATTTAAACACATATTTTTTTGTTTACATACTTATTTTAAAGTAATCTGCATTAAATAAAGAATTGCAGCTTAGTACATTTTGTCCCTTTGAATTTTTTAAAAAATGGTAACACTTTTTGTTTCAAGATAGGAAAAGATGATAACATAAAAATATCATAACTTTTTCATTTTTCAACCGATTTCAAAAAATGAAACTGTTTTTGAAATGGTTTTAAAGGCTCTTAAATATAAAGCAATGCTTTTCAATCTGAGAAGAGCCTTTAAAAATCATGTTCCATAGCTACACTTAGTATGGTCGAAGGTCCTAAATTCGACAGGGTCCGAATTTCGACGGTTTTGTTATTTTGTTTATTTCTGGTTCGTTCTCGCGAGATCAGGCTGGTCTGTGTAAACATAGTACCCCAGTAGACGTGCGATCATATTTCCTATATCATGGATGAAAATGCATTTCAGACAGGAAAACATTCGTTTCACATAGTTTTAGACGAAAAAAATGTCTGCCTTGCGTAAAATCACTTTTTGATACAAATATGAAATCTGATTACTGGTTTATGTTTGCTACAAATAACTTGACAAAATGCCGTCTGCATAGACTGACAATTCAGTAATGAAATTCACGCGACAAAGTTATCGAAAACAAGGCCAAGCCAATTTTATTTTGAGTTTATCAGAACTATATTTTTAAAAAAGAAAATAATGAATTAATCATATTTTGAATTAAAATCACAATGACTAAGTGTGTTGCATTTCGCTGACAGATAAGTCGGACCATAACAATGTCGGACTATAACAAACTCGGACCATACCGAAGTCGGACTATAACAAACTCGAACTACCGTATATATCTGTTTAGTTATTACAGATCCCTGTGTTGAATATGGAATTAATTTGTATTTTGTTAGATATATTAAGTTGAAGACTATAGATATGTATGTTCAAAGACTTTTTTTCAGTTTTTATCCATTTTACAGTTTAAAGTATATGTCGTAGAATACGCCTGCTGAGAAAATGTATGTAACTGTCGTGTTATTTTCCTAATTTCTTATGCAAATATATTAGTAGATAAATTACTTTAAGAGAATATTTGGACGCAAAAAAGTAACTTAATTTAACACCCCCACCCCCAACCAACCAACAATCAATCTTACATCTATGTTAATATTAAATCATTCACTTTATCATTGTGTTTTTCTTTACATTTACTTACCGGTACAAGTAAATTTAAAAACGAAAATTAAATCAATTATTTTTTTTTTTTACCTAAAAACATTAATTACATCATCTGTAAAAATAATAGTCCAAATCTTCTTACAGAGGAAAGGTCTTGTCAAGTAAGAGTAATGATCTCTTGACTTTGAATATAACTGCAAACTTATAATTAATTTAAGATTAATAGCAATGCGTTAAATAATATATTTTCTCATTTTTTATTTATTTTTCTGTTGTCAACTAAATACTTTATAAATATAATTATATTAATCAATATAGCTATCAAAAAATAACCAGGCGTGTAAATTTTCTCGACAGGCATTCTCAACAACATAGGAAATCTGTAAAAGCAAAATACACTCAAATTGTGCTTTCAAATTGCTTTTGTCTGGTTATACGTATCTATAGGGCCTATAAAAGTCATATATCTCTGTAACAAAATATAAATATATTTGCTATTTAAAAATTGCAAATATCACAGCGGGCATATAGATTTTCTCTGCAGGTGTTTATAACTGTTAACCGTAGAAAGTGCAAAATATTTATTTGAAATAAATAAATATATAAGTTAATTAATTAGGAAACATAATTATATTAAAATATAGTAAATTAAATCTATGGTCCGAGTTTGTTATAGTCCGAGTTTGTTATGGTCCGGCTTTGTGTAGTCCGAGTTTGTTATAGTCCGAGTTTGTTATAGTCCGACATTGTTTTGGTCCGACCTATCAGTAAATCTTGCATTTTAATGATTTGATCATGTTCATGAAAATCATTTGCAATTTCCTGAAATGTAATACTTTTTTTTTCTTCTTTTTTTTGGAAAATACTTTTTTCCTTTTCATTAAGTACTACACTGAATCTTTACACAGGAAATATTTCAATGCTTAGAATTTTATGTTTTGTTTCTTTTTAAATTTTCAACCATTTCTACTTTTTAAAACAAAAATTATTTCATTCTCTATTTACATTAAATATTACTAAAAATAATATTTAAATAATGGTTTTAAATTAAAAAAAAAAAAAATAAATAAATGAATAAAAAAAAAATAAAATGCAGTTTGTTTATAGTAAGGTTATATTAGCTTACCTATTGTTTACATTTGTTGGCTGATATAAAAACACACCTATGTACATGTTGTTCATGCCTATTGGTGTGTATATTGGAAGTTTACACCACAAGAAATTTTCAACAGTGACATAATTATATTCATAAAATGGGCCCAGTATGATGGAATGAAGAATGGGGTGCCTTGTCAATATTGTGTCACCTGAAATACTGTTGCAGCACAAAGGTTCTCTACCTAGTATGACTAATTCCTCTGTCCTGAATGCGTTGAGTAGTGACAAAATGATGAAATTAAATGTTAAATTTACATCTGTTGTCATTATTTAAACTTATACTGCAAAAAAAATTATCTAATTTCATTTCTACTAAAAATTTGTTTTGCTTGGCCTTCCTGATTGCTTGCATATCAATCGATGACGTAACCGTCGAAATTAGGACCCGGTAATGGCGGCGCACATTGTTTATATCCTAGTGTACCCATAAATCGTCCCCTTAGGACATTTGACGTCATAGTAACAACGAGCGCGTGCAAATTGATAAATAAACTTCAGTGCTAGTTATAGAATGGAACTGCTAATCAAATGTTACAAATTATTTTTTCTTACCACTCTTTACAAGATTTTTAGAACTCTTCTACAAAATCAAACATTTACACTTAGAAATATCACCCATACCCTATTTTCGTCCTTCAGACATAAAACGGACGCAGATGATTGTTCTATTTGTTTTCCCGTAATTGTGATTAAAAAAAGGGGTGGAAAATCATTAAACTAAAAATTGCAAATTTTAATTGTTAATTCTAATTTTTTATTTATCAATTTAAGAACATTAAATTGCTTTCGCTATTACCGAGTACCGTCTCCGTTTTCTTTAACGAAATAAAAAAAAAACACGAACGTACAGTACTTTCAGATTAACATTGTCAACGATGTCATGTATGCTCATCAAATTACCTGATATGCAAATCATATAATGTTTTATTTTAAATTTTCCAAAATTCATTGACCTTACTTGCAAAAACCGATATAAAATCAAAATATTTGAACAGTGCAATTCTTGCACAATCTGAAAAAAACAATAGGAATACTATAATTCAATGCGTAGACTTGAATTGATCACCTAATTATTAAAATAATGTGTGAAATATTCACGTTACAGGAAAAAAAATTATCATCTACTAGCTCTGCAGTAGATGAAAAATAAAAGAGTCGCAGAAAAGATCTTGTTTTACTTGATTATATCATGAAGTTGGACCCAGTAGACGTCCGGATTAGTTGAACCCAGTAGACGCCCGGATTAGTTATGCTTCAATGCACGTGACGTAGCACCTAACAAACTGGTAAAAATTGTGACAAAAATACACTTTTTTTGGTCGGCTCAATAAAACGACTGTTAGGACTGTTCAATAAAATAAATTCTTGGTTTGTAGAAATAAAATATTTTCTTCTTGATAACTTATAATTTATACCGACTTTTTTGCAAGCAAGGGGGGGGGGAGGGGGGGGGTGATGAAGACTGGCGGCTGAGCAAGGCCAATTGTAGATCTATTCAAACATTGTGATCATCAAATCAATGCTTGGTCATGTTGTAAGATTGATATTTTTAAAGGAGGAGGTATAATAAATTCTTATGTATGGGAAATATTTTTGATTTAATATATTTGGTTTTATTTATTTGCCGTCTCAATAACATATTCCTGTATAGAAAAAATCTCGATTATATAAAACGGAATAAAAACAAAACACACACAAGAAAAGGGAAAATCAGCAGCACATTTATACATTATTTTAATTTGTAGTACCAACAGAATTTCTGTTATTGGAAGCATTCACAGCTGTTAATTAAAGTGACTGTTAAAATATTTGATTTTTGTGGAGACTTTCATATGCAGTGGTGACTTAGATTTTTTCCCTGAAATAATTACGGATACCTGCATGGCCGCATAGAACGTCAACCAAACACAGACGACGTCAATATCGTAGGTGGAAAGTGTATAGGATCCTTATGATTTTTGAGCGTTAATTTCTTTTTAAAGAATTCTTAAATTAAAAGCCCATGCACCTAATTCAATACAATGACAGGGATAAAATAATAAAATGAAGGAATATTTGATCTGGAAGTAATTTTGGGGAATTAAATGCCGTGTACACTTTCAATAAAAATGGACCTAATGAAAAATCAGATATTTTAAGTATTTTTATTTTATTTAAGTTTAAAACTAGTTTAAACTGCAAATTCTGAAAAATAATTGCTGAAAAAGTTGCGTCATTGTGATTACTAGTCATAACAATAAAAAATGACGTCATCGATACCGAGTTCGAAACGTGCTGGTCTCGAGAAGTTTGGGGACGAATTTAGGGTACGGACGAATTTAGGGTACACGACGATATGTCACTTTTGAACTCATCACCAAGAAGAGTAAATAAGACGAACTGGATAAATCTTTACACAGGAAAGAATACAATTTGAATGATGAATTTTCCGCTCAATTTATTTCAATGGATTCTTGTTTACATAAAATAAAATATTGCAACACATTGAAAGACCGTCGAAATATGGGCACACGAGGGTATATATAGGTCCCTGTCGTGGTAATCATTATTCTGGCTTTTAAACTTTTTTATTTACCTCACTCTGCGTAAGTATTCATTTCCAGACGTCGGTGGAATGTTCAGATCAAAATCGTCATTATCCTCGACGCTGACAGCAAGTGCCTGTGGCTGCAATTCATCGTCAACTAGACTGTCGTCGCTTTCCATTCTTCTCTGTATTTATTCTACTTTCGATTTTAAATGAATCTCAAGCCCGATCAAAATTGAGCATAAGCGGCCAAAAAGGAGAGTTGCACTCATGAAAAAGTGAACGCATAATTCTAAATAATGTGTCATTACACGAAAAACTTTGAATTCTATTTTAAAGTACGTTTAATGTCTGGTACTGGAATGATTCTGTCAACACTGTCCGAGTAAAATAGTCAAAGACTACACAATATAGGCCTAATTATCCGGTCTACAACAGAACAATGTATACTCATTTCTCATTATATCGCGGGTTTCGTTGTATCGCGGTAGGTCGCAAAAATTTAGATACATAGCCTTTATTCCTTTTATTGATGGACAATATGTTTATTTTGTCCGAATGTTTACTTTTTTGACGATTAAGAAGTATGGAACATCTGTTTGAAAAAAATATTTAATAAAAACATAATTTTTCAGATTTCCAGTCACGTTTTTATTATTTTTAACCATTAAATCTTTAACCTAGTAAAAATAATACTTATAGCGAGCGCAGCGAGCGTCGCGAAGCGACGCTCGCAAAGCGAGCTCAATAGACTAACGTGTATGAACGGCCGATGATATATACACGACCGTCGTGCGCACTATATGGAAAGTCTATTTACACGACCGTCGTGCAAATAGCTATTGCAAAGTGATGAGATATATACACGACCGTCGTGTATAAATATTAAGTAAATTCTATTTACACGACCGTCTTGCACATAGCTATTGCACATTACCCGAGATATGTACACGACCGCATTCACCGTCGTGTACTCTACATTTGTCCGTACCCTAAATTCATCCCCAAACTTCTTGAGACCAGCGCGTTTCGAACTTTGAATCGAAGACGTCGTTTTTAATTGTTTTGACTAGTGAACACAATTATGCAACTTTTTCAGCAATTATTTTTCAGAATTTGCAGTTTCAACTTGTATTGAACTTAAATATTTGTATATATATATAATATATATTTATCCATTTGTACAGTTAGTTCCCATGGCAAAGGTCGCCTGCGTGGCGCAGTGGTTAGAGCGCCTGCTCTAGGGTCGTGAAGTAAGGAGTCAATCCTTACGTCGCGGGTTTGAATCCCACTCTGGGACGTACGTGGAGACCGGTCCTTCGGATGAGACCGTATATAAACCGAGGCCCCGTGTCGCAGTAGGTGCTGGCACGAAAAAGATCCTTCACTGCTCAAAGGCCCTGAGTGCCGAGTATAGGACAAAATTTGTAGCCCTCCATCAGCAAGTGGTGGCGTCTTCATAAGAGTAATGAATTCTCGAGAGGGACATTAAACAACATACAATCAATATTGCTAACGTTCCCCGAAATTACTTCCAGATCTAATATACCTTCATTTTATTTTTTTTATACCCATTAGTATATTGAATTACGTGCATTTAAGAATTTGATAAAAAGAAACCAACGCGCAAAAATCATAAGGAAACTATACATTTAAATTTACACCTAAGATATTGACGTTACCTGCGTTTAGTTGACGTACTATGCGTCCATGCGAATATACGTAATTATTTCAAGGAAAAATCTTAGTCATCACTGCAAATGATAATAGATAGCCTCGATCCACAGAAATAATAGATTTTCACAGTCACTTTAACATGTTTAACTAACAGCTGTGAATGCTTCCAACAATAGAAATTCTGTTGGTACATGTACTACAAATTAAAACAATTTATAAATACTGTGCTTCTTATTTTTCCTTTTCTTGTGTGTGTGTTTTGTTTTAATAAGTTTCATTTAATCGAGAGATTTTTTTCTATACGGGAATATGCTATGGAGACGGAAAATAAATAAAATCAAATATATTTTATCAAAAATATTTCCCATACATTAGAATTTATTATGCCACCCCTTTTAATAAAAAAAATCAATCTGTCAACATAACCAAGCATTGATTGATGATCACATTGTGTGAATAAATCTACTGTCGCCAGTCCTCGATCAACACCCCCCCCCCCTCCCCCTTTGCTTGCAAAAAAGTCGGTAAGTAGCCAAGTAATCAAGAAAATTCTTTTATTTCTCATTTTTCTGCAGATCTATTCTATATAGCATATAAAAAGTTTTTTCCCCCTGGGATGAGGATATTTCACACATTATTATAATAATTATGTGATCAATTCAAGTCTACGCATTAAATAATAATAGTTTTCCTATTATTTTTTTTTCGGATTGTGCCAACTTGCACTGCTCAAATATTTTTATATTCTATCGGTTTTTGCCAGTAAGGTCAATGAATTTTGGAAAATCTATTCTAAAATAAAAGTTTTAAACACTGTATAATTCACATATCAGGTAATTTGGTGAGCATACAATAACATGACATCATTGAAAGTACGTTCGTGTTTTGTTTTTTTTTTAATTTCGTTAAAAAAAACGGAGTCTGTATAATCAAAAGCAATTTAATATTCTTTATATAATGAAGAGAAAAACCTTTCCACTTCCTTTACGGTTCTCACAAAAAAAAATCACCTTCTTTCCACTAATTTAAATCAAGTATACGTATAAAATAAAATAGTTATCCATGTGCAGATATAATTACGTTTATTTAGCATCTGATTCATGCAGTTTTGTAATTATGGTGCTGTACTATAATTAGGAATTTCTGCTTGTGAAGTGAAAGAGAATTATTAATAATTTTTTTTTAAGTAACATAAGTTAATAAAAAGCAGGTTTGACAATTATTTTTTGAAAATTAAATTTTAGTGCCTTTTTAAGATTTCTATATATTATAATACAATAATATAAAGAGAAATTCTCGATTTTATTTCCTGATATATAGAGATATTTTCATTTTATTTAGGTTGTGCATCATTTGTTCTCAATATTTCCCCTATAATATACAAGATATCGGCACCACTGGCACTGAACTGTTTGAATTAAATCATTTGTTCATGTTGTTTATTCCACAGAACAAATATCCTCCATTGAATATTTTGAACTTTGTTGTATTAATTAAACCATTTGTTTCAATCAAATTGATGGAAACAAATTGTTTAATTAATACAACAAAGTTCAAAAGTCAATAAGTAGTAAATGATTTCTGTCAACAAGTGACAATTACTACATACATCGGATACATGTAACCAAGTTATTGGTCGTACATGCGAACCGTCTTAATTGAGACGAAACGCCTCGGTGCGAACAGTCCTGTGGGGACGAACCGTCTCGCACTCAAACAAGTAAAAATAAATCCAATGCATGTTTAATGTTTTACACGACGGTTGTGTAAATAGTCATTGAAATTATATACACGACGGTCGTGCGAATAGCCATTGAAATTATATACACGACGGTCGTGCGAATAGCCATTGAAATTATATACACGACGGTCGTGTATATAGACACTGCCTGTATGAACAGAGGAAATTCGGATTGAAATCTGTACATACGTCAGCCAAATTTCTCTGTGAAACCTTCCCAGAATTCCTGCACTACCCAATGTCCTTTGCGCGAATAAATCAAAAATAGTTAAAAAATTAAAGGAACATTGTTCCTTACCGAAATCTTAACGAAATGATTTTGCCTTACCTTATTCAAAAAAATACCCCCATGCCACAACACCGGCCTTCACCTTGCCCTTCGGAAATGATACAAATGACGTCACCGGAAACTTACGAAATTTGACGATATGCTAATTAAGTCATGTCGGTAGTGTTTCGGACTTATGTTTCATTCATTCATTCATTATCAGCTGTTTGTGTACCATGTGACCTTTATGTGTAGTGTTGTGTATGACGTCACGTATTTGGGTGTTCTTATTAAATGATTAAATTGACTACACGTGTTTTCGATGGCTCGTCTAAACATGGTGTCAGAAGCGGGATTTCAGTAAAATTTTCCTGCATATTTAGGGGACAGATAGATTAAGCCGATAACAGAACCATGCCTCGTTTCAACCCCCCGGAGAGTTTTAACTTCCAGGGCTCTCGATTCTCTATAATTGGGGCCGATATTCGGCCCCATTCCCAACGTGAAAAAGGTACCTTTTTTCCCAAATTTAAGGGTAAAAATTCCCAATTTATGATTGCTTCAAATTCATTACTGTAACAAAAAATCATCTCTTTGACAGTCGTAAAAGCACTGTTAAGATATGAAGGAAAGACGTTCGTGTTATGAACTGGTAGTTTGTTTATATGCTGGAACCAGTTTAGAATAAAAACGAAAGTCGTCTGTAGTAAAGTAGGTACGACTTGTTCATTCACAACATGTCGCAGAATGTGAAAATCTATGATGTCAGGGCTCAAAATTAATGGAAAATACTCTTTGAATGAGAATTAAAATAAAAAATTGCGAGTTAAAAGCGACCTGTGTTCGCCACCTTTTGTCAGAAAAAAAGGTCTTGTAAAAAATTCAGATTATCAAGACTGATTATATTATACGTCTCTGATGAGAAGCACTAGGCCTATAGGTATTTTATTCACTATTTTGCTATTAGATTCCCTAACAATTAAAGATAAATAGGTACCATGCTCCTACAGTTTATAAATCCCCATAATCTTATCCATTTTGCAGCGCTACCTGTCTTATAATTTACTTCCAAAAACGATCGTTTTTTTAATCCGAATTTCCTCCACTCCTTTCTTTATGGTAAATACAATCAGATACAATGTAACGTTAGATATTCCATTAAATTATTTACGATCTCTAAAACAACTTAAGTAAGAAAGTTATGTAATTTTCCAAAATATATCCCCAGTGTATTTAATGATTTAATTTTAAATTTATAAAGATGATTTTTTTTTTTAATTAAACAACTGATTTACTCTGTATCTGTTCAGATTTCATCTGTAATAAAACGGCTTAAATGCTTCCAAGAGGTTAATTATTATTATTTTTTTAAATAGATTATTTAAATCTTGTATGAATCACTATAAGGAGAAAAAATGCTAGGAAAAGTTCAAAATTACAATTTGATAGTAAAAATAAATCTGCTGATATTTACTACAGTGGTCAAAAAGTTAAGTTTGATCCCTGCAGTACTGTTGTCAGTGTAGAAAAAGTATTTCTACTAAGAACAAGACAATGATGTAAGTTTAAATTATGACTGGTAAAAATTTCCCAATTTTTATAAAAACGTCGCTTTTTTCCCAATTTCAATGGCCCCGGCCCCAGTACCAAAAATGGGTGTGAGAGCCCTGACTTC